CCCCTCCGCCCCAGCTATGGCACCAGTGCAGCTTCCAGCTAGTCGGGGGAGGGAGGAACTAGAAAGGGAGAAGTGATGGCAGTGTGGATGCAGTTTGCTGACACCTGGCCCCAACACAGCTCTGCCACTGGCTGGAAGCTGTGCCCACATTGAGGCCAAAGAATGGAGGACTGAAAGAAGAGACAACAGCATGGGTGTAGGATGGAAAGCTCTCTGCCACTGATGCACCACTGAAAATCATCCTTCCTGCATTGGACCAGAGCAGTTTGTTCTGGTCCATGGTTTGTAAGAGGTTGCTGGCCACTGGCCTAGAACAGTGGTTCTCAACCAAGGTGCTATGGCATCCCAGCTGCTGCAAGACCTCCTCAAGGGTGCTGGAATGCAGGTGCTGCTGAGGCAGTAGCATCTGGGTAAAACTGTCCTAAGCACCCTCCTGCTGCATTCGGACTCTGATCAGCCTAAAACTGGCAGAGCTGGCTTGGCTGTAGCCTTTTTTTGTGCCTCCCAGGCTCCTTTTGGAAAGACACACATAGGACAGATCCATCAGTGCACCTCTGATCCCAGGAGGAGCACAGGAGGGGCTGCACTGGGAAGAGCTACACAGCATGAGGCAGCTCCAGCTAGCTTTAGGCTGATCAGGACCATAATGCAGTGGCAGAAGATGGCAGGTGCAACTGCCTTTCTCAGACTGGTTGTACAGCAAAAAACACAGGGCAGTTTTATCTGGAGACAGCAAAACGCAGTTGTGAAGCACTGAGGGAAGCTGAGGCAGCACCAACAATGGTTCTCAACTGAGGCTGCTACCACATTCAAAAAACTGGTGGACATGTGCTCAGACTCTGAAAAGGTTGAGAACTACAAGCCTAGAAGCCAAAAGCCAGGAACAGGGTTTGAATTTAGCTTGCTGGGACTGGCTAAAGGCCTTACTGGATTCAGTACTGCATCCCCTCACAGAAGTCAGATGAGTTTTAGTAGGTCTATTCTTCTTCCAAATCTGTGCTGCAAAGTGTTACTTGTACAAGTCAATTAGGGAACAGACCATAGGTCTACTTAAAACTGCAGTTTTGCACATTTTGCAGAAACCACAAAATCCAAGATTGTCTACAAAAATCAACAATGAAAACTTAAAATGTTGGCTCCCCAGTGGGAGCCAGTGGTCCTTCCTGCCACTGTACTTCTGCCTTACAGCCCACCCAGGAGGGGATGACACCAGCTGGTGGGGCAGCATGGAGGCCAGCAGAAAAGATGGCTGCTGCCCTCTTGTCCCTCCTTCCCCAGTCCCCAGGTCTCTCCACCAATGAGCACTGAGGGGCAGGACTACTGAAGGACAGCCAGCAATCAAGACAGTGACTGTCCCTCATCCCCGCAGCCCAGGCCTCTGCCAATCAGCACCAAGGGGCAGGGCTGCTGGAGCACACATCTGTGAAATGACTGAAGAATTTACTATTTATGCCACAACTAACCCATGAATATTGGTAGTCCAACCAAAATTTAAGTAGACCCCTACACATAAGTATATATAATAGAAGAAGTCAAAGATAGGAAGATGACAGAATTAGTGACAGGAAATTTGTGTGTGCATAAGGAAAGGACAGTAAGGGAAGCAAAACCCCAGTAAGAGATTGCAAGGTTAATTTATTTACACATAATGGGGTAGACAGTGATAAAAGTTGTAAATTATTTCTCTGCTTCAGCATTTGCAAAGGACTTAAAGACTCAGTTGCCACAGAAGGAAACACTTCTCTGATAAAGTGGAAGAAATACTGGAGGAAATTAGAGCTGGTAAAAGAAGTTAATTAAAAATAGCATTATAATCAGACACTAGATTCATCCAAGAATCCTGAAGAATGAAAAACTGGGAAATAGTTAGCCTCTAGGGCTAGGGACAGTAATTACACATAAATTGGTAGAAGTGATTGGAAATCAGTTCAAATCTGTAACACAACAGAAATTCAGTGTACATAAACTGCTTTCAAAATGGCTGCAACTAGCTACAACTGGGGGAAAAATGGCTACAACTCCCTGATCAAGGCAGGATCATCTCTGCCTAAATATCCCCAACAAGTCTGTCCAAACTTCCACTTCAAAACTTTCATTGGTATGCTACAGTTAGGGTGTTAATTGGGCTATGAAAGGTAACAGTGCTACACATGAAGTCAATTTATGACACCATAAAGTGGCAAACCAGCCACAAAGATATTCCACAAAATGTGTGGAACATCAGTGTGGGTCATCTATATGGCTCCCTAAATTGCATGCGTTACACTGCTGGATCCAGGGCTCTCTCAGGGCAACAATCAGCCAACAAGACCCAGGGCTTTCCCGGAGTAGACAATCATCTGATAGCCCTGGATATGGAACCAGATCAAGGCTGGGAGCAACTCTGGATCCCAGACACAGTCACCCTCTGCCCAAACCACAAATTTGAGCTGGGGGCAGCCCTACAGTGGGGCTATTGGGATCAGAGAAATATCATCTCCAAAAATGTCTCTGCCCCCAAGCACACCATTGTTTTAAAGTCTCCCAGGGATTCTAGTGACTGAGATGCAACCTTCCCAGGGAACCCATTCCATGGAAACTTTCAAAGAGGAGATGTGTCAAGTCTAATATCCTGGACAAATTCTAGATCAGGCAATTACAACATACCAGTTTACTTTACCCATAGATTTGACTGAATATTTACTTCCCTGAAATTCCTGCCATGAATTTGTTAATATTTGAGTATTAGGATTTATGGGAGTAATGCTGAAAATAAGGGCCAACAAGGTCAGGTTTCCATTGGATTAGACACTGTAAAAATACATGGTAATATTCCCTGCAAAAGAAATTGATTTTTTTTATTTTTAAAGAGGATACAGTACTGATCTCATATTAAATAGCAGACACAATTCTTACACAGGCAAAACTCCTGTTCAGGTCTAAGAAAGTTTTGCATAAGCAAAGTAGGCTCCAGGATCATGTTCAAACTTAGATAGATAGGTAGATAGATAGATAGATATAGGTGTATAATTATATATACATACATACACACACACACACACACACACACACACACACAGAGGTTTTAATATGTATTAAATACATTATATATATTATATAGGTTCAGAATTATATCTAGTATATTATATAAACCTATATGTATAGGTTTTAAGTTATACATAAAAACAAAACAGTTGGATGGTTTGGTTTTATGGAGAAAGTCATGAATGCACTGCAGCATGAGAATACCATGAAACCAATACTTTTAGGAATTTCATAATAATGCCAAGAAACAGAATGTACTCATTGTGACTAATACATTAAAATACTGAAAATAAATTCTGACAGATTAAATAGGTCGTGTAACTGAAAAGTATGGTTAAACCATTCCAAAACTAATCAAGCTTAAGAGTATGGCAATCTTTCCCTATTATTAATAAGAACATAAGCTGGATAAGTAGACTGGGAAACCTATAAATTATAGCCAGTATCAATAAGTAGAATATTGTTTAAAAATATGTTTTTAATTAAAAATGAAATGGCAGGCACTTGTACTGAATCAGTGTCTTGCACATGCTGGAGTTTTATAACTCTTCTCTGTTCACCAGCATACCTTTCCAGTTGCCACTAAACTATACTGAATACCAGAATACGGTTCAAAGTACACAATCCAGATCAAGGGAATAATGAAAATCCCTTGTGCTTTACATCTGTTTATATTTTTAGATGAAAACATAGAAGCATATTTTTAATCCTTGAATATTTAAGACTATGCTTTGGGGTCAGGAAATACCTACCGTCTACATCAAATTAGGCTCCAATTATGCATGAAATTGTTGTGTGAGGAAGGTAAAACAGGTGACAAGAAACACTGAACATTACTTTCAACCTTGAGTTGAGCTTTTAAAACATATAAGCTAATATGTTGCCATGGAAATGTTCTGCAAAAAAGCTAGAAATCTGCTAAAATGGAGCTAAATATCACTGTGAAAAATCGGCATCTTCTATCATTTTATTTATAATTGCCTTAAACTGTATGCAGAATGCATTTTGGAAAGAGAACAACTAAAGTGATTATGGTATTTTCAATTTTATTTTGTGACCAGCACATAAAAGTAGGCTACTATAGCCACTGCCACATTAGACTTCATATGTACAGAACAGTATCTCAGGTCCTTTCCTTTACATAGCTTGTCATAATTTCTACATTTATATTATGAATGTACATTAACAGTTCACATAGTGAGAGCATTTCAAAAGGTTGATCATTCTTAAAAATAAAAAAGGAAAGCATATTACATTAGCATGAATTAGATTCTGGAAAAAACAATTAATATTTAATTTTTTAATCTTTTTTTTCTTTTTATTCTCTTTCTTTTCCATGGGCATCAGCATGTCTTCAATGGTAATAATTAAAAGACGAGAGGTACTCTGCCAAACTTTTTGTGTTATGCTCAATAAGCTTCTATTTTTAAAAGTGGCTTGAAATAGAGCAAAAAAATCTACTAATGCAAAATACAGCAAAGAACTATTCTGCAGAATAACCCAGTCCCATTACACAATGTAAGACATTACTTTAAATAATCTGCCACTATAGGCAAACAACTAATTTATAATGTGCTTTCATAAGAGTGCTACATCATATGAACTAACACACAAGTATTAAGTGTGCTGTCTGAAAATAATACAGCATGAAATGTAATACAGTCCTTTTGATTCTTTCTTACTTTACTTCATAGCAGATGTATAACCCCTTTTTCCATGACTGAACTGGAAACAATTATATACTTACCAAAAATATATTTAAAAATATAAATACTCATACTATTCAACTTGCAATTAAGTGAACACTAAATTCCTGAGACATATATTGATCTGCTTATGTATTAGGTACACAGCCTGTCCTATAAATCCTGTAGCAATTCCAATGAGGAACAACTGTGCAAATACATTTTAAATGACGTACAACTAAAAAACAAACCCTATGTCAGAAATATTAAGTACAAACCATAAGATCATACCTGATGACTTAGAGACTGGAATGGCTCACTGATTCCAAGCTGCATGACCTTCCTATTTCCAGAAACCCCCAAATATTGCATTTCCTGTCTTATAAAAGTATCTCACACAACCATCTACCTCTGAGCATCTTCTGTATTAGTGAAGAAAGCATCAACAGCTGTTCAATCCATCAGTAACTGCTGAACTCATTGCCATCAGGATATCAGATCTTAAATATTAGTTTCCTCTGTGCTATTACAGACATCCAGTATTCAAGGAGGCTGACACAGCTATATCACTGATGCTGCTAAAGCCATCTGAAAACAGTAAGCTTACTGCTTAAAGCAATCCTGCATCATCCAAACAGAGCAAGCCACATCCTTCAACCCCTCACTTGCGTTACGATAAATCCTAGCGCTGCCATTATGGATTTTGTTTTCACTCCTGGCCAGCTTAAGAAAAATGAGATATTATGCAACCAATTTTGCATTAACAAAAGAGAAACCGTAGATGAAGTGACATATCCAGGTTATCAAATTTTGCCTGCATGACCACTTCTCAACAACCAAAATTGCTATTCAGAAACAGCATCACAATGTGATCCAAAGGAAAATTACCAGGAAGAAATCATAAACAATTCAGAAGCAGCAAGCTATTTAAATACCTCTATAGCACAAAAACAGCTATTTTGCGTGATCTTACAAATCTTGATCCATATTCAAGTAAAAAAAAATTGCTAGCTTAAAGATTTTTGTGTTTGTTTTCCAGCAATTGCATGCTCACTGCATTGCTTGCATTGTTCCCTGCTAGCAGCCTAGAAAAATGGTATGCTTTGAAAACAAGCCAGTATTATGACAGTAAAAATGTGTTTTGATACCAAACAAAATAAACATGTATGTGGATTTCTTTAATTCCTACAGACCTTTGAAACCATCAAGATATATAGTGTGCCTTTCAGTAATTTTAAATAATTCATTAACAAAATAGTAACTTGACTATAGATTATAATGCATATATTTTATATCAGTGCACAGTGGACTGGTAATAAAGCAGCTGCTCCCAGATTAATGCTAAAAAGAACGCTCCACTAGGAACAGCATTACATAGACAACATGTCATCTCTCAGGAGAGAATGTGTACAACTGATAAACTATAAATATTATCATTTCACAGCCAGTTCCTAGAGTCTGGAACCATAAAATAATCAAGTTATAAAGGGCTGAAAAGACCCATTAAGCATTCAGTCCATCTTCCTAAAAATACAGATACATTCCTTTGCACATTTTCTAAACATAGTGCTGTTGGTGGCAAATTCAATCCCAAAGTAACTCTATTGATCCAAATGGTTGGCATGTTTTAGGATGAATTTGGCCCCTTGTATTCCAAGAAGCCTCTCTACCTTGGAATATAAACTGCAACTTCAACCAGAAGCAAATGATCTCTAAATTAATTAACCCAGGTTCTACTCAGTTACCTTAACAGTATTACTATACACGTGCAGTAATTCCTCTTCGGCCAACTTCCATTTAACATTTCTGATATACAGCCATTCATGTTAGAACTCTAAAAGTGGCAAAAAGTTACCTTCCATGAATACTGCTACTTTACTTTTCAGGAAGGAATTCCTTTTAATTGCTGTATTACACATCATTGGCCAGATCCTGGGATACTTCCTGTCATTAGCACTTTCTATTACCTTCCAATTATGATGCACCATAGGGATGTGTGAAATGGCCCCTATTCCATTCGGATTTGGCTCAAATCAGGGACAGTGATTCAATTAATTGATTTAGATCAGTGTCCCTGATTCAATTCGGCTGAATCAGAATCTGAAGATTCAATGCTGATTCAGAGAATCAACAATTCAGACATAGACACATCTTTAAATGTTTTTTCTACATGCCTCAAGGTACCAGGCACGGCTTGTAAATGCTGCAATGGTGGGATGGATGCAGCATCCCACAGGAGTCGGGGGAAAGGGGGGCAGCTGCATGCTCAGTGGCAAACCCACTTCAGGGTCTGCCAGGGAGCACACCGGGTGTCCTCCTGTGTGCCCTGGCTCAGCAATCAACTATGGGGGGACCATAGGTGCCCCCCCAGACCCAGGAGGCACCAGTCACTGAGCCAGAGGGACACCAGGGGGACCCCCTGCATGCTCTCTGGTGGACCCAGAAATGGACCAGAAGTGCTCCTGGTCCACTTCCAGGTCTGCTGCCGAGTGTGCTAGGGAGCCCCCCATGCTTCTGTGGGATACTCCATGTGCCCCAGCATCACAGCATTCACAAACCGCCTGCTACCTAGAGGTATGTAGAAAAAACATTTAAAGCTGTGTCTATATTTGAATCGCCAAATCTTTGCGAATCTCTAAGAATCAATTCAGAAAGTTCCAATTCTATTTGGAGAGATTAAAGGGTCTCCTGATTCAATTCAGATTCAGAGATTTGGCCACTGGATCGGGCCGAATCTCTGCCAAATAGAATCAGGAACCAAAGCTTCACATAACCATAATGCATCATTAAAATAGCATAACCTGGCAAGAAAAATCTTCTGTGAATCAATGAGTGGCAGAGAGTTACCGAAGTGGCTGCTCTGCTCCCTAAAGATGATGCAGGGGACATTGCTTTTGAAAAGAGACAAATCTAAGGCATATTAGGAGATGCTAGGCTGCTGTAAGAACCACTGGCAATTCCTTCAATAGAGCAGGCTTAAGATGGTTCTAAAATATACCAGAAAACAAGATGGGCAGAATTGGAGATAAATAAAGATATCTTGAAATACTCTCTTTTTCCTCTGCATTCTTTAGCTATAGTTCAATTTCTAAGTACCCCTTTTACATATATGTTTTAAAAGAATATTTGTATCTTCAGCAGTGACTAATGAGAGATGTGAAGGATATTTTTAGGGCTGTGTGAAGCTTCAGTCACTGATTCAATTCAGAGGAGATTCAGCCTGATTCAGTGGCCAAATCTCCGAATCTGAATTGAATCAGGAGATCCATTAATCAGAAGCCTCCAATTCAATTTGGAGAGATTTGACAATTTGGTCATAGATACAGCTTTATATGTTTTTTCTACATACCTCGAGGTACCAGGCGTAGCTCATGAATGCTGAGAAGGTGGGCCCGATGAAGTGATGCACAGGAGTGGGGGGGGTGTCCCCTGTGCTCTCAGTAGTGGACCCAAAAGTGGACCAGAAGTACTTGCAGTCCACTTCTGGGTCCACCGTGGAGTGTGCAGAGGACCCCCCACTCCCCAACTCGGTGACTGGTGCCTCACCAAGCCAGGAAGGATGTGGCGGGGGGGAGGGTCCCCCACACACCTGGCGACAGACCCAGAAGTGGACCAGAAGTATTTCCAGTCCGCTTCTGAGTCTGCCGCCAAGCACACAGGGAAACC